AACATTAGAACTTACTCCTTCTATCTAATTGTATATTTGTATCCATTAACCAACCTCTCTTCCTTGATCCTATCCCCTATACTCCCATACTCCCACTTCAGCCTCTGGTGACTGTAATTCTACTCTCTATCTCCATGAGATTAACTGTTTAAGCTCCCACATGTGAATGAGAACACGCAATATTTGTCTTTCTGTGCCTGACTTATTTCCTCCAGTTCCATTTAGATTGCTGCAAATGACAGGATTTCATTATTTTTTTATGGCCAATTAAACATTTCAATGTGTATATATGCCATATATTCTTTATTCATTCTTCTGTTGATGGACACTTAGGTTGCTTCTATATCTTAGATATTGTGAATAATATTGCAATAAACATAATGGTGCAGGAATCCCTTTGAAATACTGATTTCTTTTCCCTTCCATAAATATCTAGTAGTGGGATTACTGGATCACATGGTAACTCTATTTTTATTTTTGGGGGAATATCCATACTGTGTTTCATATGGCTGTACTAATTTACATGCCCACCAGCAATGTGTAAGAGTTATTTTTTCTCCACATCCTCACCAACATCTTTATTTTTTGTCTTTTTGATAAAAGCCATTCTAACTAGGTTAAGATGGTCTCTCATTTGGTTTTGATTTGTATTTCCCTGATGATTAGTGATGTTGAGCATTTTTTCATAAACCTGTTAAGCATTTGTATGTCTTCTTTTGAGAAATGTCTGTCCACATTCTTTGCTCATTTTTTAATGGAATCATTTGGGCGTTTTTGCTGTTGAATTGTTTGAGTTTCTTATATATTCTGGATATTAGTCCCTTGTCAGATGAATAGCTTGTATTTTCTCTCATTCTACAGGTTGTCTCTTGACTGATTGTTTTCTTTGCTGCACAGGAGCTTTTTAGTTTAATATAGTCTCATTTGTCTGTTTTTATTTTTGTTGCCTATACTTTTGAGGTCTTAGCCATAAAATCTTTGCCTATACCAGTGCTCTAGAGTGTTTTCCCTATGTTTTCTTCAAGAATTTTCCTAGTTTCAGGTCTTATGTTTATGTATTTAATCTATTTCGAGTTGATTTTTGTATATATTGATAAATAGGGGTCTAGTTTTTTCTTCTGAATATGGTTATTCAGTTTTCCTAGCATCATTTATTGAAGAGAGTGTCTTTTCTCCAATGTATGTTCTTGGTGCCTTTGTTAAAAGTTGGTTTGGCTGTAAATATTTGGATTTATTTCTGGTTTCTCTATTCTGTTCCATTAGTCTACATGTCTGTTTTTATTAATTTAAATTTTATTTTGAGACAGGGTATTGCCTTGTCACCCAGGCTGAAGTGCAGTGGCATGAACTTAGCTTACCATAGCCTTGATTTCCCAGGCCCAGGCAATGCTCCCACTTCAGCCTCCCAAGTAGCTGGGATTACAGGAGCACACCACTATACCTGGCTAATTAAATTTTTTTTTTTTTTTTGAGACAAGGTTTCTCTATGTTGCAAGGCTGGTCTTGAAGCCTTGGGCATCTTAAGCTGCTGGGATTACAGGTGTGAGCCATCACATCTAGTCTATATACTTATTTTTATAGCAGTACATGCTCTTTTGGTTACTATAGCCTTGTAGTATGTTTTGAAGTCAGTTAATGTGATGCCTCCAGCTTTTCTCAGGATTGCTTTGGCTCTTTGGGCTCTTTTTTGGTTTCATGTGAATTTTAGGATTTATTTTTCTATTTTTGTGAAAAATGTTGTTGATATTTTGATAGGGATTGCAATGAATCTTTAGATTGCTCTGGGGAATATGCTCATTTTGTTAATATTAATTTTTCCAATCCATACACATGGGATGCATTTTTATTCGTTTTCTTCCATATCTTTCATCAGTGTTTTAAATTTTCTTTCTAGATGTCTTTTACCTCCTTGGTTAAATTTATTCCTAGGTGTTTTATATAGCTACAAACATATATATATGTTATATATGTTTATGTATGTATATATATGTTATATATGTTTATATATGTGTATATATATGTTTGTAGCTATTGTAAATGGGAATGCCTTCTTGATTTTTTAGCTCATTTGTTATTGGTATATATAAATGCTACTGATTTTTTTGAATGTTGATTTTGTATCCTTAAACTATATTGAATTTATTTATCATATTTAAGAGTCTTTTGGGGGAGTCTTTAGATTTTTCTAGCTATAAGATTGTCTCATTTGCAAAGAGGGAAATTTTGACTTCCTCTTTACTAATTTGGCTGCCTTTTATTTCCTTCTCTTTCCTGATTGCTCTGGGTAGGACTTCTAGCACTATTTTGAATAGAGGTAGTAAAAGTAGGCATCCTTGTCTTGTTCCAGTTCTTAGAGGAAAGGCTTTCAGCTTTTTCTCATGCAATGTGGTATTAGCTGTGGGTTTTTCATATATGGTCTTTATTATGTTGAGGTGTGTTTCTTTTATGCCTAGTCCGTTGAAGGGATATTAAAATTGATAAACATGTGCTGTTTGTCCTTCATTCTCATGACGTGATATGTCACAGTTACTGATTTGGGTATATTGAACTATCCTTGCATGAGTGGGATAAATTCCACTTGATCATCATATGTAACTTTTTGATATGCTGTTGGATTCAGTTTGCCAGCATTTTATTGAGGATTTTTGTGTCTGTGTTCATCAGGGACATTGGATATTTTCTTTTTTGTCTGATGTTGGTATTAAGATAATGCTAGCTTTTTAAATGTGTTAAGGAGAATTCCCTCTCCTTCAATTTTTTAAATAGTTTGAGGAGAATTGGTGTTACTTCTTCTTTATAAGTTTGTTAGAATTTGGCAGTGGCTTCATAAATTATTTGCAATTCTTCTTCATGGGAGATTTATATTTAATTTTTAAGAAACTGACAATTTTCTAAAGTGGTTGTGCCACTTTTATACTTGCACAAGCAGTGTCTGAGAGTCCAAGTGTTCCTCATCCTCACCAACACGTGGTTTTGTCAGTCTTTTTTTTTTGAGATGGAGTCTCACTCTGTTGCCCAGGCTGGAGTGCAGTGGCGTAGTCTCGGCTCATTGCAACCACCACCTCCTGGGTTCAAGAGATTCTCCTGCCTCAGCCTCCCAAGTAGCTGGGATTACAGGCACCTGCCACCATGCCCGGCTAAGTTTTTGTATTTTTAGTACAGACAGGATTTCACCATGTTGGCCAGGTTGGTCTTGAACTCCCGAACTGGTGATCCGCCCACCTTGGCCTCCCAAAGTGTTGGGATTACAGATGTGAGCCACTGTGCCTGGCCCCAGTCTTTTACATTTTAACCATTCTAGTTGGTGTGAAGTGGTATCTCATTGTGGTTTTTGCTTTGCATTTGTGACAACTAATTATGATGAACACTTTTTCATGTGCTCACTGGCTATTCTTATTTTTTTTTATGTGTCTGTTTGAAATGTCTATTTAAATATTTTAATCGAATTTTTAATTGGGTTGCTTATCTCTTATTGATTTGAGGAGCTATTTGTATATTCTGGACACAAGTTTTTTGTTCAATATATGCATGAAAATATTTTCAGCCAGTCTGTGGCTTGCTTCCTATTGATTTTCCTGTGTCCTTCAGTGGGCTGGCTTTAAGATTTTAGTGAAGAGATTGGAGGTTCAGTGTTAGAAGTAATGGACCCTTACCCATTTTATAGTTGATGATGTTAATTTTTATTGACACGCTTTCTTTTTAAGGCATTTTATATTATCTTAGAAGAAAATTTCCTAAGGAAAACTCAACACTTTTCCACAGTAACAGTGATTGTGTTATTGGATATAAAGATTCCAGATATATTAGATTTCTTTGAGTAGCAACTGCTAGTATGTAATAGAAGCATATTTGGGAAGATCAAGCTCTGTCTTTTGTCAATTATGTATTCTCCTTTTCCAAGAAGCTGTGGCATAATCATAAATGACACAGTGCAAGAAGGGCCATATTCTATATGCTGCTTAAGTCAAGTCCAATAGACACCGAGGAATCCAGGCTGGGAAACAGTAACAACAGCAGCTTCCATTAGTATTTTCCCCAAGATCTGATGACAGGCTGCATCCAAATTAACAATAAAAGGAAAGAAGCCAAACTTCTCTTGGAGAGAAGAAGGAATTCCCCCTAGGTGAAGTGGCATCATGCGATGTTAAACACTGACTCATCAAATGGGTCTGGGGAAATTCTTTCAAGCTTGAGTTGGAATAACAATAGTTAAAGAACAAGGTTTCTTCCTTAGAGTTCATATGTGAACTCATTTACCAGTCACCTCTGACATATCAGCTACCTGAATTGACTCTTGGTTCTGACACTGATAATTACTGCCTCTAATCTTTTCTATTTGCTTTTGTATTTGCAATAAGATTTGATTTCCTTAACAATCATGGCTCTCAAGCTGAAAAGCCTGCATAGTCTCTAATTTGTACTCAGTAAATACTGGCTTCTCAGTTGACTGCTATCAATTTTTAAATTATTTGAAGTAATATTTGTAATAATTAACTTTAGAGAAAAGCACATGGAAAATCTTTGTGCATGCATTGTTTAGTACCTAAAGTGTTCAAAACTGAGAAAAAGACACATCTTTATGTTCATTTGCATACTGCGATTTCTGGATAATAAAAGGCTCTGAGTTCCTTGATGTCCCGAGATTTCACTTATATTCTGGAGTTCTCCATTTGTTTATTTACTGCTGATCCCACAAAACTGAAAGAAAAAAAATAAGGGTGGCTCAAGGAGGAAATAGCCAGGGCTTAGTGTAATGTGTGGATGAAAGATAAGGGAGTAAGAATTACTGAGAAGACTTAAGAGTCAATGGCATCCTTCAGCACAATTTTAACAACTCTAAAATGTGAAAAAAGTTTGTACATTAAAAACCCAGTTCTGATCTCTTTTTTTTTTTTTAAATTTCCTCTTGGAAGAGAATGTGAGGTTTTAAAAATCAGATAAAACTATGTCTGAATGTAACTGTTATCTTTTGCTAACTGTCCATTTTCTTGCCATTTCAGGTAAACCTCTTTGTGCTGCTCTCTGTGGTTTGTGTCCTCTTAAATCTAGCAGGATTTATCCTAGGCTGCCAAGGGGCCCAGTTTGTGTCCAGTGTGCCCAGGTGTGATCTGGTAAGCACTTCTAAAACATCGCAATGCATCTAGGCAGACCTTGGCTTGTCAGGTGTTCCTGTCAAGACTTGCAACATTCAACATCAGGCAACTGTCCTGAAGTGAAACCTGAAATGGGTAACAGGAAGTGGGGAAACAAAACAAAGACCTGCCTGCTGATTATTTCACCCAAGTTGTCAATTACTTTTTCCAAAGCAGGAACCAGCGAGCAAAACCCCGGAACCATAGTGATACAATGCATCATTACTTAGTGAATGAATGGATCAGGTGTCCACAGTCAGTCAGCCTCTGAATGTTTTCATCTAAAGAGAAAAAAATGGATATTGCCAGAATAAAGGTCAACAGTCCTTTATCTGAAACCTTTGGAGGCCAGGTGTGTGTCAGCATTTAGAGTTTTTCCAATTTTAGAAGATGAAATACTTTGCACATACCATAGTGGAGTCTGGGACAGCAGGCTGTATCATGACTTCTGGTTTTCAGAGCTTTTTGGATTTTAGCATTGTGAGCAAGAGGTTGTGGACCTGTACCATCTCTGAACTTAAAAGGAAAAAAATTATTGTGGTAAAATACACATAGCATGAAATTTATCATCTTAGTTATTTCTAAGTCTGCAGTTCAGTAGAGCTAAGTATATTTTATTGTTGTACACCCAATCTCTAGAACTCTTTTCATTTGCAAAACCAAGAGTCTGTGCATATTAAACAACAACAGCTCCCCATCCACCAACCCCTGGCAACCACCATTTCACATTCCCTTTCATGAATTTGACTACCCTAGTTACCTCATGCTAGCAGGATGAAAAAAAACGCTGTTTGTCTTTTTGTGACTGGCTTATTTCACTTAGTATCATCTCCTCAAGGTTTATCTTGTAGTATGTGTTAGAATTCGTTTCCTTTTTAAGACTGTACAGTTCCATTGTATGTACATGATACCTTTTGTTTATCCATTCACCTGTGATGGATATTTAGATTGGTTCTGCTTATTGGTTATTTTGAATAATATTGCAATGAACATGGGCATGCAAATATGTCTTTGAGATCCCTGGTTTTAATTCTTTTGGATATATAACCAGAAGTGATCATTTGGTAATTCTATTTCAAATTTTTTGAGGAAACTGCACCATTTAATATTTCCACCAACAGTGCATGCGGGTTCCAATTTCTCC